AGAGATGCACTTAACTGAAGAGACCAGGGAGATATAACTTTTCATTCTTTTTTTTTTTTTTCCTATTTGAAGGAAGCTGTTAAATTTGGTGGATTCGCAATTTGGCGGCATCACCAATGAAGGTGGAGCCAGACTCTTCACTAATTAGTTGGTTTTGGGTTATGAGTTTATAATTAGGATGTGTTTTACAAGTCTCCCTAGCCAGAAAGGGCCGCCGGGCAGTGTCAGTGGGCTGAGATTGCTGAAAGTCTCAGGCCTCCACAGGTAATCCTCAACTTAGGACCATAATTGATGCCAACATTTCTGTCGCTAAGCAAGGAAGTTGTTAAGTGAGTTGCATTCCGTTTTATGACATTTGTGCCACCATCATTAACCGAATCACTACAGTTGTTAAATGAATCATGCAATCATTAAGCAAAACTGGTTCTTCCCCCTCCCGCCCCCATTGACTTGCAAATGACAATCCCAGGAGTCTTGGATTCTGCAACCATCAAAAATACATGCCAGTTGCCAAGAACCCAAAATCTGATCCCGTGATCAGATTGGTGCTGCAACAGTCATAAGTGTAAGAATTGGTCATAAGTCACTTGTTTCACGGCCGTTGTAACTTCGAACGGTTACTAAAAGATGGTTGTAAGTTAAGTGTTCTGACCAAGGCTTCCTGAGACAGTAACAATCACACGCTGTTCCCAAAAACCTTTTGTTTTATTTCAACAGCTGTGAATTATATGCATTCACAACCTGTAATGAGTCCCAAACAGTTTATGAATGGTCCAGCAGAAGTCTGCCATAATCCTTCAGGATAAGGCTGATAAGCACCCACTTTTATCTCCCTTGAAATGCTGCCAACGACTAAATTGCCAATTAGCTGTACAAGGCCAAATGGAGAACAAAGTCCGCATGGAGCTTCAGAGTTTAAACTGACCAGAATGAACAAAGTTGCTTCCTGCAAAGGCTCATATCCCTTTGCTCTTCCTTTATGTCTTATGGGAGGGCCAATCACCTCCAAGCCTTATTCCTGAGTCGCCCCTTTTGTCTTAACTGTTCTCACCTTCTGGCAGCTCTGCGCAAGCGCGCACTGGGAACAGGCTCCCCCTGTTCCTCTGCCTCGCTGATGTCAGATTCTGGAGGCTCCAGAGTCAGCACATAATTTTCAGATGGCCCCGGCCCCATCTCTATGTCAGACGCAGATCCCATATCAGAGCCCTCCTCAGACTCCAGGACTGGCCCAAGTTCCTCCTTACTGTCCAACTCTGCTGCCAGCTCCGCAGGCTGCCGGCGGACAACATTAAGGACGACTTGTATAGTACTTCATCCCCAATGCTACTGCTGCGGTCACGGCCCTGTGGTGAGGTACCCCAAGTACCCCAAGTACGCACAGGTACAGTATATGTGGTACCAACCTTGCTCAATAGTAGTAACTGTGACCATTGTTCGGTGAATTTTGCCCCATTTTACGACCTTTCTTACCACCGTTAAGTGAACTGCTGCAGTGGTTGTTAGCAACACGCTTTACAAAGTGAATCTGGCTTCCCCGTTGACTTCGCTTGCCAGAAAGTCCCAACTGGTGATCACATGACCCCAGGGCATTGCAACCATCATAAATATGAGTCAGTTTGCTAAGCATCCGAATTCTGAACACGTGGGGAAGCTGCAATGGTTGTAAGTGTGAAAAGCGGTCGTAAGTCACTTTTTTCAGTGCCATTGTAACTTCGAGCAGTCACTTAACTAACTGTTGTAAATTGTTGTAATGACGAAACAGTCGAGTTGTTTGATCATGATCAACTGAATCATGATGATCTTTATTGGAGTCTAGTCTTGCATTTATACACATGTTTAGTTATCCTCCATCATTGGTTAACTTTGGTTACTGCTTAACTTTCATTACTGTTTAGCACAGTAATTAATACAATTAATTATCTCTAGTTAAAGTCTAACATATGTTTACTTCCTCTCTCTAATCCTCCTTTAGATTAGTGACTTTGTTTACCTGAGTTGTATTTGCTTGGAAACATTCTTTATCTCAGGTTTGCCATCTGAGATTGGAACATTCCTGCAATTACAACTCTACAGTAAATCAGGGTTGTCCAGTCATATGCACTTAAATACACACTGTTCCAAACGGAAGGTGCCAGTCATGGGTTAACCAGTCACTTAATCCTGCTTTAATACAAGAACGAGGGAAGCAGAACCTCAAATCGATTCAGAATAATAGAATAACAGAGTTTGAAGGGAGCTTGGAGGTCTTCTAGTCCAGGGTTCGCCAACCTTTTGGACCTCAGGGAGCACAAAACTCATAATTTTAAATCCCGCGGACCAGAAACCCTGGGAAAATCCCCCAAAAAAGTCTGCAGGGAAATTCCCCACCCCGTTTTCTTACCGATCGATCATTCTTTATTTGGGATCGCAGGATACCATCTCCAACTCTGTTCTCAGAGGGAGAGAGAAAGAAAGACTTTTGGCTTCATGCAAGGAAAGCAGCAGAAGTCTTTCTTTCTGTCTCCCAAACTCCACCAGAAATGAGTCTTTGTGAGACTTGTCATGCCGGTGCAGCCTCTTGGAGCAGGAGGCCTTGCCGGGTCCCAAAGACTCATTTCTGGCAGAGTTTGAGGGAGACAAAGAAAGACTTTTGCTGCTTTCCTTGCGTGCAGCCAAAAGCAGAAGAAGAAAGAAGTGGAAAGAAGCAGCCCAGTGGCCAGGCGAGGTGCGTGGGGCAAGTGGGGCAAGTTCCCCCCCTCTGCCCTTTCCCCCTCCCCTCACTACCTCGTGTTGTTCACAATGCAAGCGACACAAGACTTGTGTTCCCACGGGCCATGTGGGCGGCACAGCCTTGTGTTCCCGTGCAGCCTGGATTAATTGCTTTGGGGGATGACATTTCTCTGCAGACCACCAAAATGTTCTCGTGGACCACCAGTGGTCCCTGGCCACTGCTCTAGTCCAATCGCCTGTTTGGGCAGGAAACCCTTTCAGACAAATGCTTATCCAATCTCTTCTTTAAAATCCCCAGTGTTGGAGCATTTACAACTTCTGGAGCATTTACAACTCCTTAATTGTTCTTACTGTTAGGAAGTTTCTCCTTAGTTCTAAGTTGCTTCTCTCCTTGATTAGTTTCCACCCATTAGTTCTTGGCTTGCCTTCAGGTGCTTTGGAGAATAGCTTGACTCCCTCTTCTTTGGGGCAGCCCCTGAGATATTGGAACAGTGCCGTCATTTCTCCTCTAGTCCTTCTTCAAAATGCAAAAATCTACACCAATCCCATGGAAGCCAATGGTCTCATTCTACAGGGAAAGAAACAGCCCCCTCCAAACTTCCCTCACACAAAACTATTCACACAGGCAAAGGACAAAAACAAACTCTTACACTCTCGAAAACTCCCCCAAAAGTCTTAAAAAGGACCTGTGAATTTAATTGAAATGAACTGAAATAAAATTGCCCAAATAGAAATGTCTCAAGCAACATTCTGTCCCATTCAATGTGTGTCACCACTTACATGAGTAGGGGTGACATTATAGCAGTGTTCCAATATTTGAGGAGCTCCCACAAAAAACAGGGGGTCAAGCTTTTCTCCAAAGCACCTGAAGGCAGGAAAAGCAGCAATGGAAGGAAACTAATCAAGGAGAGAAGCAACCTAGAACTAAGGAAATTTCCTTGAAAGTTAGAACAATTAATCAGTGGGAACAACTTGCCTCCAGAAACTGTGGCTGCTTCAACACTGGAGGTTATTAAGAAGAGGCTGGACAGCCATTTGTCCGAAATGGTACAGGGGTTTCCTACTGTAATAGAGAGAAGCAACCTAGAACTAAGCAGAAATCTCCTGACGGTTGGAAAAATTAATCAATGGAATAGCTTGCCTCCAGAAGTTGTGGGCGCTCCATCCCTGGAAGTTTTCAGGAAGAGACTTGACATCCATTTGTCTGAAATGGTAGAGGGATTCCTACTTGAGCAGAGGGTTGGACTAGAAGACCTCCAAGGTCCCTTCCAACTTTGTTATTTTGTTATCCTTCCAGATTAAACTTTTAAAAAATGAGTGCAGAACCCAGGAGGCCCCAAATCAGGAAGGAAAGAAGGGAGGGAGGAAGGAAGGAAGGAAGGAAGGGGGGGAGGGAGGGAGGGAGGGGAAAGACATAAATGAGATGGAGAGAGAAAGAGAAAGGAAGGAAAGAAGGAGAAGGGAGGAAGGAAGGAAGGAGAAAGGCAGAAGTGAGAGAGAGGGAGAAAGAGAAAGGAAGGAAAGAAGACAAGGAAGGAAAAAAGGAGGAAGGAAGGAAGGAAGGAAGGAAGGAAGGAAGGAAGGAAGGAAGGAAGGAAGGAAGGAGAAAGGCAGAAGTGAGAGGGAGGGAGAAAGAGAAAGGAAAGAAAGGAGGAAAGAAGATAAGGAAGGAAAGAAGGAGAAAGGAAGAAGGAAGAAAGGAAGGAAGGAGAAAGGCAGAAGTGAGAGGGAGGGAGAAAGAGAAAGGAAAGAAAGAAGGAAAGAAGATAAAGAAGGAAAGAAGGAGAAAGGTGGAAGGAAGGAAGGAAGGAAGGAAGGAAGGAAGGAAGGAAGGAAGGAAGGAGAAAGGTAGAAGGAAGGAAAGAAGGAAGGGAGGAAGGGAGGAAGGAAGGAGTGAGAGGGAGGGAGGGAGAAAGAGAAAGGAAGGAAAGAAGGAAGGAAAGAAGATAAGGAAGGAAAGAAGGAGAAAGATAGAAGGAAGGAAGGAAGGAAGGAAGGAAGGAGAAAGGTGGAAGGCAGGCAGGCAGGCAGGCAGGCAGGCAACCCTCTGGTCGGAATTCCCTTCGGAAGCGTGAAATGTGATCTCTGCCAGAGGGGCCGGAGAGGCGGGGATTCCTCAGCGGTGCCAGATCCCGAGGGGGAGCGAGAGAGAGGGAGAGGGAGAGGGAGAGAGAGCGCTCGCTCGCCTTCTGTGCCGGACCTCTCTGCCTCCGCTGCGGCTGCCGCTCGCTCCGACCCTTCCTTTATCATCCCCAGCGCGCAGGCGATCCGCAGGAGCCGCGGCGGGGAAGATGCGCAAGCAACCGCCGGGCCAACAAGAGCATCTCTACAAGCTGCTGGTCATCGGCGATCTGGGCGTGGGCAAGACCAGCATTATCAAGCGCTACGTCCACCACAACTTCTCCCCGCACTACCGCGCCACCATCGGCGTGGACTTCGCCCTCAAAGTCCTCAGCTGGGACTCGGAAACGGTGGTGCGCCTCCAGCTGTGGGATATCGCCGGTGAGTTCTCCTCCCGGAGCGCAAAGAGCAAACTTTGCTGCTCGGATGTTGCTTTCCTCCTCCTCCCGGGGATGGTGGACTACAGTTCCCATCAACCCGGTCGGTCCCCTCCTTGGCGGGGCACGGCGGGAGGTGTAGTCTGACAGGTCAGCCAGGCCTGAGCCGGTTTAGGTCAGGTGGAAAGCCGTAGTGTAGCGGTGTCCAAACTTGGCAACTTTTAAGACTTGTGGACTTCAACTCCCAGAATCCCCCAGACAGCATGGCTGGCTGAGGAATTCTGGAAGTTGAAGTCCACAAGTCCTGAAGTTGCCAAGTTTGAAGACCTCTGCCATAGTAGAATGGGGAAGACGGGAGAACTGAGGTACAGGGGACCAAAATGGGTGGGTTTACTTTTTGTTTTTAAAACGAGGATGGATAACAGAATGACAGAGTTGGAAAGGACCTTGGAGGTCTTCTAGTCCAACCCCCTGCTCAAGCAGGAGGCCCTATGCCATTTCAGACTAATGGCAGTCCAATCTCTTCTTAAAAACCTCCAGTGTTGGAGCACCCTCAACTTCTTCATTACTATTACTATTAATCTTCTCATCACTCCTTATCTCCCTCCCACTTGTGACTGTATGACTGTAACCTTGTCGCTTGTATCCTTACAATCTATATTGACTGTTTCCTAGTATGATCTGATTGCTTATTGTATCCTATGACTATCATTAAATGTTGTACCTTATAATTCTTGACTCTTGACAAATATATCTTTCTTTTATATACACTGAGAGCATTTGCACCAAGACAAATTCCTTGTATGTCCAATCACACTTGGCCAATAAAGAATTCTATTCTATTCTATTCTATTCTATTCTATTCTATTCTATTCTAT